TGTGTGTGTGTGTGTGTGTGGGGGGGGGTCGCTATAAGGTTTAGCAATATCTTGCACCCAAGTGCCAAAAAGCCTTACTTGAGATATTTTTGCTTTTGGCGTGATTGCCCAGTGCTCGTAAGGTCAGGATGGCCGGCCAAAGGTCATGTCCGGTCATTGATTCAGGCTACCGTGATCAATTTGGAAATGGGCATCTTTACAAATAGGGCAAAAGATTTGAAATCCTTTTCTTCACCGTTGTTCTTGTTATTAAAAAAAGCAATGGCAACGATAATAAAAGAAACAGCAACAGCAATAGTATAGTAAATATCTATTCAGCGATAATCAGCGTCAGCAATAACAATGACAACAACAGCAGCAACGACGACCACAGTAATAACCCCAACAACAACGACAACAACAACAACGTCAACAACGAAAACTGAAAAAACAATAGCCGCAAGAACACCATCATAACTACAGCAACAACATCGACAACCACAACAACAATAACACCACCACCAACACCACAACAACAACAATAATAACAACAACAACAACAACAACAACAACAGCAGCAGCAATAACAGCACCCACAACTACTAAAGTAACACAAGGACAGAAATAACAAACGCCCCCCCCCAAAAAAAAAAAAACCCAGAAAACAAAACCCAAAAAATTGGACCAACACCCAAATCGAGAGCTGTTTTCCTCCTGTGTAATCTTCAGGCTGCGTTTGCATTTACGTGGAATCATTCGTGAATAATGCACGCCTCACTATACATACATACACGCGCACGCACGCACGGACACAAACTAACACCTACATGCATGCTCGCTGGGCCATCAGCCAGAGGCTGTGGTGAGTTGTGTGTGAGCAGGGCATGCTCTGAACGTCAGTGTTGTAGGGGTACTCAAGTACGTTTTGATTTTTTTAAAAACAGTAACCAAAAAATAAAACACACTCGCTAAAAGACATCAGTAGATCAATAAAGCAGAGGAGGGCATACATAGACCAAACAACAAATAGGCAATCACTTGGATAAACATACATACAGCCCATTAGATAGATAGATAGATAGATAGATAGATAGATAGATAGATAGATAGATAGATAGATAGATAGATATGATCAATCGATGTAAAACTAAAGATTTGCAGCGAACCAGCACAAAATTAGCTAGATCTAGATCTAGATCTATTTTTTTCCACGAGACAACAAGATAGCAAGATCGACGGCTGTATAGACAGATCACACACAAAAAGACAGAGAGATACATGCATACATACATACATACATACATACATACATACATACATACATACATATATATACATAGACGAATAGTGAGATAGACGGATAGACAGATAGATGAATAAATAGATATATAGGTCGATAAATATATGGATTGAGAGATAGACATTTGCAGCGTTCCAGCACATACGTAGCTAGATCTAGATCTATATATTATTCTCTTCTCGAGACAAGACAGCAAGATAGCCGTCTGGATGGGCAGATCACACACACACAAAAGCTAAACCAAACAACGAAACGAGTTCCAACTTACCTTATAAGGCCACTTTCATTCTCCGATCCAGGAATCTAATGGAAATACAAACAAACAAGCACTGGGTAAGCATCCAATGAGAAGCCGAGAAACATTTCACAACTCCTGGAAGTTACAACTTCGCGTCACAACATAATATAGACTGCTGAGTTGAAACACAACTGACTACTACCCCTCTACCCAAAATTCCGGTACCAGGCCTACTACAACTTGAGGGAACTGTAGCAGCACTGCATTAATTTGTGTATCACGATCGCTGTCTTCCATTCCTTCGCTAGTGAGTGAGCCCTTAGCTAGCGGTATTGGGAGGTCGGAGCGAGGACGTAGGTATTGGAAGCAGGACAGCAGCCAGCGACAAGCGGCCGTGCACTCAGCACTCACTCACTCTCTCCCCCACACATACGCACGCACACGCGCACACAGACGCGCGCGCACAAGTTTGTAGTGACTGCGATGCGACTGACACCCATTCTACCCCATCTCCCGAAAGTGAGGAGGGTGAGAATGAGAGAGAACATTGCACAAGGGCCCGTTTTCTTGTCACAGAGATGTAAAGATCGGTGCTCACACACACATAATATAAACCCACATTCAGATACATAGATAAAAATACAAAGATACACATACACATACATGAACAATGGCACATACGTATATACGTACAAACAAAACCACACATACATACATACACACTCATACACGTACACACGAAATATACAAGAACACGCACATCGTTGGGGAATGAAAAGGGTGGTCAGGGGATTTTGGGCATCATCGCTTCGTCTGTCTGCATTTGTGTCTGTCTGTCTCTGCGTGTGTCTGTCAGTCTCAGCGTGTGTCTGTCTGTCTCAGCGTGTGTCTGTCTGTCTCAGCGTGTGTCTGTCTGTCTCAGTGTGGGTCTGTCAGTTTCTATGTATGTCTGTTTATCTCTGCGTGTGTCTGTCTGTCTGTGCGTGTGTCTGTCAGTTTGTATTTGTCTGTCAGTCTCTATGTATGTCTGTCTGTCTCTGCATGTGTCTGCGGGTGTCTGTCGCTGAGACAAGATGCAGATCTAAACGGGCGTATGTATGTGGTGTGATAAGGAAGCTGTATAACCCTGTAAAAGGCTATCCCCCCCTCCCAGAATTTGACTTTTTATTACATTTCTTTTTCAATTGAGTATCTCCGGCTTTTGTTGGGATACAGTATCCCAGGAACACATGTGAAGCGAAGAAAACTGAATTGGTATGGTCATGTAACAAGATCGTGTGGCTTATCCGAGATCATTCTTAAGAGAACTGTACAGGGCAGGAGAAAGAGAGGAGGGCAAAGGAAGAGGTGGACCGACAATATTGCGGAGTGGACAGGGAAATCCTTCGCCCAAACTCAGGCGCTCGCAAAAAAAAAAAAACTCTTAAAAAGTGGAGGTACATGACGAGACTCTCTATCACACAACACCCCTACGATCCCCGTGGATTATGGGAGTAGTAAACTATAGATATCCCACTTAAACCTGGTTGGCCCTGACAGACACGTTTGAAGCAGTCCACGTAAGCTATTGCTTGACTTCAAATATGTCGACTGAGGTATAAAAAATAACATTTATAATCATCTTTTTACAAATTCTAGCGGAGGTATAGTATTTACTACCACATAAGAGCACTAAGTTGAAATGAATAATAATCCACGAACAAGAAAGGTATCACTCTTTGCTCAATTTTGGAGTCTAACATAGAACGCTCTGGGTGGCAGATCAAGCTCATTTTAATTTAGTTTTATTAAGAGTTTTACGGCATTTAAAACACAATAAGGTATTATAGGTGATGCAGATTGGAAGTGTAAAAACAGAGTAACAAACACAAGAAAGAAGGAGGGGAGATAAATACGATACGCGTTTGATAAGAAAGAAGAAACAAATCACATCAGAGCACCCGCCAACAGGCCATATCAAGGTCATGACCCAGATAACCAAGCTAAGAGGCTGAGTGGCATTCAAGATTTGGATTAATCGATCTGATATGATACCGAACTGACCCTTAGTAGATCAATCACGTATGTGGCGGGGTTCTGGGGAGAGATTAGCAGCTTGTCGATACAGCTTCCAACCCTGATCACTAAAGTACCACCGTTTTTGCTGACCATTTCTTAGTAAGGTAATGTAGGAAAGTAGTAAGTGAAAAGGTAACTTATAAAATCATGACGTAGAATGTTGTTACATTTTTTCTCGTCTATCTATCTATCTATCTATCTATCTATCTATCTATCTATCTATCTATCTATATATCTATCTATCGATCAATCTATTTATCTATCTAACTATCTATCTATCTATCTATCTATCTATCTATCTATCTATCTATCTATCTATCTATCTATCTATCTATCTATCTATCTGTGAGTCTATTAACAATCAGCCGTCCACCTCTGTCTGTCCTCTTTTTGTTTGTACGTGTCTGATTGTGGATACCTTTGAGTGTGTCGAATTATATCACAAACATCAACAACCTAAAACACACACACAAACGCATACACACACACACACACACACACACACACACACACACACACACACACACACACACACACACAAATACACGAACACACAGACAAACACACTCACACATTCTCTCTTTCTATTTCGCTGCGATCTCTCACTCTTTTTCTTTTTCTCTCATTTTCTCGTTCTCTCCTCCCCCTTCCCCCCTCCCTTTGCCCACCACACACTCTCATTCTGTTCTACCTCCTCCTCCTCCTCCTCTTTCTCCTCTTCCTCCTCCTCTTCCTCCTCCTCCTCCTCCTCCTCTTCCTCTTCCTTCTCCCGGACATCACAGCTATCACTCAACTCTTTCAGTCCTCCATCCCCCCACAAGGATAATCCGCTCACTCACAATGACGCACAAGCCGCGCGTGAACCCGCAGCGCCAATCTTCGTACGTGCCTGGAGTGTCCTCCAAAAGCGCGGGAAAATACTCCAGCCTCTCCGCCAGGCCTGTATTGCCGGAAACTGGGGAGCCAAACACTCTACCAGACGCACAGAACTTCCCGCCAAAATAATATTCCTCGCCAAAAGCTGTCTTGATGGCTAGCTGGCTGTCCACTTCCTTTTGTGCCTAAGTGGTATCGTTCTTGATCGCAAAGGGGATTTCGGAATTAATCCACGTATATTGTTTTAGGTATGGGTATGCATTATGGCAAAAGTTCAATGCCCCTTTAGACTGTTTAAGAGTTATAGCTCTATGTTTGAAAGTACATGTATGTATACCGGGAACGACTTCTTCGATGATACCAACAAGCTACAAGTGTGATTAAGGTACTCGTATGTCGTGTTTCAGACACTTTCCGCACTGAAAGGTCATTCAAGAAACGGTGTACAGGGGGGGGGGATGGGAGGGGCATTTGAAAGGGAGATGACATGACTGAAGTGGTTACAGAAATTGACGGAAGGTTGAACGATACTATTGACTATGTAGTCGAGTAAATTAAACATTGTGGTTGTAGAGCCTTGATACCCCCAGCCCACTTCACAGAAAATATGAATTTATTGAATCAATCCATAAATAAATCAAAGGAAACAGAAAACGAAAAAAACAAAACAAACACAAACAAAAACGGAAAAAAGAATAAATGAATACAAACGGAGAAACAGAGAGACAGAGGGAGGGAGAAAAACAGAGAGAATAGAGAGAGAGAGAGGGGGGAGGGAGAGATAGAGAGAGGGAGAGAGACAGAGAGAAAGAGAGAGAGAGAGAGAGAGAGAAGAGAGAGAGAGAGGGAGAGAGAGAGAGAGACAGAGAACAGAGAGGGATGATGGGAACTCGCCATCAATGGTGTGCCGCTGGTAGAAGAACTCGTGATGATATCGGTGTATGGCGTCTCTACGCCACCAGGTATCTATTATTAGCAACCGCTGACACTGCGCAGTGTCATCATTATTGTCAGAGCCGTAACTTTTGATGATGTACATACGACATGTATGTTATTGTTAGCCGATCAACTGACTTTTTAAAACGCACAAAAGGTTTCGATTGTATGCGCTAGTATAATTGTAATTGCATGTATTACAACTTTACCTTACGAGAAGACTACGGAAAATGTACATGAATCTAACAACAGAGTAGATCTATTATCGGAATGCTAGTTAAAGAAAAATGTAAAAAAAAAAATAGAACGATGATTATGATGGTGTGGTGTCACTTTTTGAAGACTCTCTGTTTATCTCGCTAGGAGTCGATTTTTTTTCGAGGACACAGCAGAGGTGTAGCGAGATCGTGAGGTTATTGCTCTGTGTTTATAACGCCAAATGATAGACCTGTAGTCTCGAGATTAAGGTGAGGTGACACATGTCAGGGCTGTGAGTGGTTGAAGGAAGAGGGGAAGAGCGGGGCGCACACTATTGGCACCCGCCTGAGATCTTTGAGTTGGTATACACCCGCTATATTTGCTTTTCTTTAAAAAAAATTGCGCTTTGCTTTTATGTAATTATATACACCCACTATCATTTCTTCTTTTTTTATCGTGTGTTGCTTTGTTTTGTTATGTTTTTGCTTTAGTTTGGTTTATTTTGTTAAGTTTTACTCTAATTTTCTAAGCCTTATTTCCTGTGCATGCTGCGTTGTTAATAACATAAACGGCAGTTATTGCAACAGACTAACAAGCAAGGACACGCCCGTCCCTTTGTTTCGATTTCTGTTTGTTTTGTTGGGATTTTTCTTTCGTATGGATGATTTTTGCTTTTTGGAGATCGATTATATGAAGCTCACCCTGCAACTTTTCCCCTCATGTTCATGTCGGTCGTTACAAGCAAAACCGTCCCACAACTGTCAACCTTTTTTTTAAGGTGGGTGTTTCAACTGAACTGATCTCTTGTCCCAGTGTAAAGCAACTTAAATATACTAAAGACACTTAAAGTAGAAAAAAAAATCATTAATATAGAATTTACAAACACAAAGGAGCAAAATGAATTTGATTGTTTGTCTGTCTGATTGAGTAAAAAGAAGCACATCGACTCGGTTAGAGTCATTGAGCGCAGGGAACATGCTGGGCGAACTAACATAAA